TGATTATTTCCTAAGGCAACTTCATAAAAATAGAATGCTAAATCAGAGTATTAGCCTTTTTTAGGTTTTTGCCAAAATGCCCTCTAGAAATGTCACGTGAATTTGTACTTCTATTGTATGAGACAGCTCATTTCCCCATAGCCTTCTCAGCATGGATATTATGATTTTAAAAGTTTCTTGCCAGGCTATAGCTTTTGTAATCAGATGGTGCTCTGTAGTTTCCAAAGCTCTTCTCTTCTGACTGTGTTCATTGTTTCTAATACCAACTCATTCTTGAGTTATTTTTCCTTCTATTTTAATCTACCATGTCCTCTAATCTTAAATTCCTGCCTTATTACTATTCCAAACATTTTCTTTCCTTTCTCAATTACTCACACCATTTTCCTTCTGTTCACTGGAGTTAGACTACAGTGTTCTGTTTGTACATTTGTAAGTAGGGAAAAACCACTAGACCATTCATGTATAACCTAAATCAAATCCCTTACAATTATACAGTGGAAGTGAGAAAGAGATTTAAAGGACTATATCTGATAGAGTGCCTGATGAGCTATGGATGGAGGTTCATGACATTGTACAGAAGACAGTGATCAAGACCATCCCCCCAAAAAAGAAAGCAAAAAAGCAAAATGGCTGTCTGAGGAGGCCTTACAAATAGCTGTGAAAAGAAGGGAAGTGAAAGGCAAAGGAGAAAAGTAAAGACACACTCATTTGAATGAAGAGTTCCAAAAAATAGCAAGGAGAGATAAGAAAGCCTTCCTCAGTGATCAGTGCAAAGAAAAATAGAGGAAAACAATAGAATGGGAAAGACTAGAGATCTCTTCAAGAAAATTAGAGATCCCAAGGGAACATTTCATGTGAAGATGGGCTCAATATAGGACAGAAATGGCATGAACCTAACAGAAGCAGACGATATTAAGAAGAGGTGGCAAGAATACACAGAAGAATTGTACAAAAAAGATCTTCATGACCCAGATAATCACAATGGTGTGATCAGTCACCTAGAGTCAGACATCCTAGAATGCGAAATCAAATGGGCCTTAGGAAGCATCACTATGAACAAAGCTAGTGGAGGTGATGGAATTCCAGTTGAGCTATTTCAAATCCTGAAAGATGATGCTGTGAAAGTGCTGCACTCAATATGCCAGCAACTTTGGAAAACTCAGCAGTGGCCACAGGACTGGAAAAGGTCAATTTCATTCCAATCCCAAAGAAAGGCAGTGCCAAAAAATACTCAAACTACTGCACAATTGCATTCCTCTCACATGCTAGCTAAGTAATGCTCAAAATTCTCCAGGCCAGTCTCCAGCAGTTGTGAACCGTGAACTTTCAGATGTTCAAGCTGGTTTTAGAAAAGGCAGAGGAACCAGAGATCAAATTGCCAACATCTGCTGGATCATTGAAAAAGCAAGAGAGTTTCAGAAAAACATCTATTTCTGCTTTATTGGCTATGCCAAAGCCTTTGACTGTGTGGCTCACAATAAACTCTGGAAAATTCTGAAAGAGATGGGAATATCAGACCACCTGACCTGCCTCTTGAGAAATATGAATGCAGGTCAGGAAGCAACAGTTGGAACTGGACATGGAACAACAGACTTGTTCCAAATAGGAAGAGGAGAATGTCAAGGCTGTATATTGTCACCCTGCTCATTTAACTTATATGCAGTACATCATGAGAAATGCTGGGCTGGAGGAAGCACAAGCTGGAATTAAGATTGCCAGGAGAAATATCAATAACCTCAGATATGAAGATGACACCACCCTTATAAACAAAGCAAAGAAGAAGTAAAGAGCCTCTTGAAAGTGAAAGAGGAGAGTGAAAAAGTTGGCTTAAAGCTCAGCATTCAGAAAACTAAGATCATGGCATCCGGTCCCATCACTTTATGGCAAATAGATGGGGAAACAGTGGAAACAATGGCTGACTTTATTTTTTGGGCTCCAAAATCACTGCAGCTGGTGACTGCAGTCATGAAATTAAAAGACGTTTACTCCTTGGAAGAAAAGCTATGACTAACCTAGACAGCACAGACATTTGAAAAGCAGTCATTAAAAAGCGGAGACATTACTTTGCCAACAAAGTCTGTCTCATCAAGGCTATGGTTTTCCCAGTGGTCATGTATGGATGTGAGAGTTGGACTATAAAGAGAGCTGAGCACTGAAGAAATGATGCTTTTGAACTGTGTGTTGGAGAAGACTCTTGAGAGTCCCTTGGACTGCAAGGAGATCCAACCAGTCCATCCTAAAGGAGATCAGTCCTGAGTGTTCATTGGAAGGACTGATGTTGAAGCTGAAACTCCAATACGTTGGCCACCTTGATGCGAAGAGCTGACTCCTTGGAAAAGACCCTGATGCTGGGAACGATTGAAGGGAGGAGGAGAAGGGGACGACAGAGGATAAGATGGTTGGATGGCATCACCGACTCAATGGACATGAGTTTGAGTAAACTCCAGGAGTTTGTGATAGACAGGGAGGCCTGGCGTGCTGCGGTCCATGGGGTCATAAAGAGTTGGATACGACCGAGGGACTGAACTGAACTGAATGTGGTCAATATGGTCGATGGATACCTCAGGAAGATGGGAACTTCTTTTTCTCATTGAGCCCAGGTCTAAGTAAAAGTGAAGCCATCCCCCAAAAGACTCATCTACTTTATAAAGAAATAAGATTCTTGTTGCCCGGAATATTTCAGCCATGTGGACAAGCTTCTGAAAACTGTAGAAGGTATTCTTGCTCTGGGAAGTAGTCAGTCTATATATCAGTGTCCACCCAGTAAAACAGAAACCACTCTAAATATTTAAACATAGAAGGAATTTAATTCAGGGAATTGATTACACCAGTGACTAGAAAGCTCAGAAGCCAAAAAGATGTTGAGGCATCACTGAGATTACTAACATTGGGAAGCCAGTCTGACCCCTAGGGCTGAGGGAGTTGGCAAGGTCCCCTGGAGGAACCTGCAGCCACGATGGGCCTTCCTGGAGCTGGACCACAGAGGTGATGGAGGTACTTCTGACCACCACGGGTGGACTAGAGGGGAGAAACACCCAGGTGTTTCTGTTCTCCCTCTCCAACCTCCTTCCAATGTCACCCAGTGGCAAATTCAATTAGAAGCCAGTTGACACAGATGTCTGTGGAATTACATGCAGCCGGTGGCCAATCCCACTGTGATACAGAGTGGAGTCAGGTAAAGGGGAGGAGAGGATGTGAGGGCGAACAGGCCAAGGCCTGACACAGATTCCTGGAGGCCCTCCCAGGCCACAGACAACAGGGAGAAGTGCAAGGCCTGGAGAGGTAGGCCGTCTTGGTGTGATCCGGGCCCTGTCATTCACTAGCTCTGAGAATTTGGCCAAGTCACTTAACTCCTCCAAGCCTCAATTTCCTCATCTACAAACGGGGGCAAGAGAAACCACATCTCACAGGTCATTGTGAAGATTTAATGCAATAATAATTGTAATATAATTATAAGTATTCAGCAACAATTGGTTTCTTTTCATCAAAGAATTTATGATTTTTAATATCAAGGGCAGCTGGGCATTTGGTCAAAGTCATTAAGCTTCTTTGAAATATTTTGAGAGAAGGAATTTTCCTTTTGGAAACTCTTCATCGGAGGGATATGATAAATTGCACTATAATGATACTGGGGGACGATTTAAAACACGTGAGGGTATTGTGCGTGATTGATTCATTCATTTCACAAACATTTATGGGTACTCACTATTTTTTTTCTGGAAACTAAGATTTAGATGTGGTTTCTGCCCTCAAGGAGATGGCAGCTGATGGACCAGAGATGACTTGCGTTGTATGAAGGTGTGGGAATGCTCACAGAGGAGGGAGCAATGGGATAGCTCTGTCGAGGGAAGTGGGAGAAGCTTCAGCAGGCGATGATAGTGGAGTTGCGTTTTGAAGGATGAAGAGGAGTTTCCCATTTGTAGAGGCATGTGCGAAAGTGTAGAGTTACAAAAGGGCACAAGATAGTAGTGGAATGGTGCGATCTTCACATGGATGGGGCCTTGAGGGGTCCATAGTCATGGTGGTGGTTAGAACAAGTGGCAGATATGGCTAGAAATGAAAGAGAAAGCCAGTGCATAAAGGGCCTGGAATAGAAGTTAATGACTTTATCGTATGGCGAAAGGAAAGCCAGCAGAAACTTTTAAACTAGGGAATCTCTCACCATCTATGACCTAGAATTTCATGAAGTGATACATCATCCCAGTCTCTCTCATGGCCTCAACCAAAGGGCTGATGCAATGCTGATATATAAATCAAGGGACATATCCACATCTCATAAGAGATTAGAAATCATGAATCTGAAAAATGAGCACAAGGGTTTCCCCTTAATATTAAATTCAGGGTGGAAAAAGTCATTAACTTATCCTACAGATGCTGAAGGGCTCAAGGTAAATATTTAAAATATTCTCCTTTCCACAAATCCAAGAATGTCAGAGGTGTGAAGATGATGCTTGTGGCTATGAGACCGGATTTCAAGGATGCTGATGAAATGTCTGCTGGTAGGACCTGCCTGAATTCTGAAAAGGACCTTGTGTAATATAATAGAAAGGAAAACACAAAATGATAATGATATAGTCCAGGTGGGTCAAACAGTAAAGAATCTGCCTGCAATGCAGCATACCAGGGTTCCATCCCTGGGTAGGGAAAATCCCCTGGAGGAGGAAGTGGCAACCCCCTCCAGCATCCTTGCCTGGTCAGTTCCATGGCCAGAGGAGCCTGATAGGCTACCATCCATGGGATCGCAAAGAGTCAGACACGACTGAGCGACTTTCACTTCAATTCACATGCTTTCCAGAGCCCTTTCATGTAGATTATTTCATTTAAGCCCTCATGACAGTGGTGTGCCGTGAGTACAGTCCCATTCTGGAGATGAAGAAATGGAAATCTGAGGGTTTCAGAGCTTCCTAGGATCTGTGAAGAAGTTACACCCAAGGCTGTAGCTGGACTTCTAGACACACAGGACAGCGCCTTCTCTGAGCCCTGGACACTGCTCTGCTTACCTGTCTCCTCCCGTACGCCAGGATGGCTTCTTTGAGGTCCTGAAGTGTGCGCAATTCAAGATCTGGCCTCTTCCTGCAGCCTTTGGGGCAGTAGGGACCTTTTCTCCTCTCTTCGGGGGTCCATGCTGAAATAGCCAAACCTTCTGAGTAGAGGATCAGGGCGCCTTTTCTAGTGCTGAATGTTTTAGGAAGAAAGAGGCTCCATGTGCGCTGGTCAGTGTTGCCCTCATCCTGTGGTTTGCTGACCAGGATGTAATCTTCCGGGGACTTCCAGTTCAAGTAATCCTGCAGTGGAAACAAAGCACTTTAAATTGGCCCACAGTGGAAGGCCCTTTCACAGCAAATACTGCCTGGACAAGTGTTTAACATGTTGTCTGTGACTGGTTTTCCCTGAATTGCTCACATGGTGTCACGAACACAGTCCTTTTTTTTTTTAATTTTTATTTTTTTATTTTTTAACACCGAAAACATTTTGTATTGGGGTATAACCAGTTAACAATATTATGATAGTTTCAGATGAACAGTGAAGGGACTCAGCCATATATATACATGTATCCATTCTTTTCCAAACCCCTACTCTCCTTTTAGCAAGTGATTTTGTTCTCCACCTCTCAGAGTTAGTAGAACCCAGGGCATGGTTCTCTTTAACCCCATATAACTTTCAAGAGAGCCTTTTTATGCCTGGAGGCTTGAATAGGGTAGAATGTGGCTTCTAGGCCAGTTAAAATTTCCTGGTATGCAAGAAAGTAGTCAGAATTACCAAGAGCAGCAGATAACTTTGAAATTAGACCTGGAGTAGCTGGCAGTTTAAATGGGAGAAAACCATTCCAACCCATCGCTTTAGCTGTATGCAGGGAGAATTCCTATACATTCCAGATGCTATGTAATGTTACCTAATTTGGCTGTTTAGGAGCCTATAAAGTAGTTACATATCTTGTAAGTAAGTGAATGCCATTGGCCACAGAGGTCCTTTGAAACTTTATATGTCTTTTAATACAGCGAAGGTCAAATATCATGACAAACTACCATGACAATGGAACTCTCTGTGTGATTCAAAAATTTTCAAAGCACCCCCAGTGGATTTCTTATTCCTGGCAGGATTCAGTGAAATAAAATTCCAGTACAACAAAGGAATTTTGCCACCTCTTTAAAAATCTTCTAAAATGAAAACAAAAAAAAAAATTTTTTTTTTTTGCTTATATTAAATATGAGTCCTTGTGGGTTGAATTCCAGAAGTTTCAAGGAAGCCATTGAATTGGCAAGAACATACTCAGCATTTAACCACAGAACATGATGTCTAAAAACCCAAACATCCATCAGCTTGCCTAGAACCCAGGTGGAAATTCTGGTCTTGTACCAAACCGCCCCAATTCTAGACCACGTGGAATCTCTGGTCTAAAGCAAATGAAGCCATAAATCAGTGAGGGAGGGGGAGGACAAGAGCCCAGGTGGCAACTTCCGTGGGTCAAGCAAACTACCTTATTTTCTTGAGTTTCACCAAGGAGGAGGGATGATCTCTCGGCGACCCCCACCACCTCAGAAACAAAACCAACCAACACACAGAGGGCTCAGCACCAAGTGGGAAAACAGAACATTCCCCTCCCATCCCTCAAATACGCTTTTATTCGTCGGTAAGACTCACCTCCGGTTCAAAATAGACTTCTAACTTCTGTTTGTTCTGGACCAGCTTGCCATGTCCCCGGCTCAGGAGGGAGAGGGTGAACATGGTTTTCCTCTGAGCACCCTTCTCAAGGGCAGTTCATCTTGGTTTTGAAGACTGAAAGCTGGTCACACCTCAGGGTTTCCTGAGCTCAGCAGTGAGCCCAAGAAGACCACAAACACTGGGCCTTTGATGAAATACATTTTTTCACTCGTCCAGCAGCTTCTTAATAACAACTAGCCACACAGTTTAGACAGTGTGTGTCTTTGTCGGGAGAAAAAACAAACCACACACCCAGACTCCTCAAGCCCTGGACTGTCTGCTCTCTGGGCAGCCCTCTCCCTCCCCTTCGCCGGCACCCTTGTTGTACCCCGGTCCCGTTGCTCGGGTACCGGCCGTGTGCATCGGCAGATCCGGGCCACAGGCACCCTCCTTCTCACTGGGCCCGGAGTTGTTTCCTGGTTGCCATGGCAGCACAGGGACGTGAAGTCCCTTAAGCCGGACTAGGCAAGGCAGTTCACACCCTGTGGGGAGGGAGGGTCACGTGGACATCGAAGGGACCAGGCTCAGATTTCAAGCCCTGATTTCGGGGGTGAGGGGCATGTTGGGACACTTTTTGCTGTTCCAGGACTTGTCTTGCTGGTGGACAGTGTCCCCCCCTCTTTGGACATGAGAGCCTTTCACCGTCAACCAAGCATTAACAGACTCAGAGGAGTCGTCTGGGTCACCTAAAGCGACCCGTGACGTTTTCCTTGGCTGAGCTCCAGCGTCTTCTCAGCTGGGCATGAGGCCCCTTTTTCTGGTGGTTGCTGCTTTGCAGGAATGAGTGCAGGACGCCTGGACTCTCGAGATTCCTCCGCACACCTGGGTCTCACTTGGGCAACTTCCATCTCTAGAGGGTCTTCTGCGGTGGCTCAGATGGTAAAGAATCTGCCTGCAATGCAGGAGATCTGGGCGTGATCCCTGGGTCAGGAAGATCCCCTGCAGGAGGAAATGGCAACCCACTCCAGTATTCTTGCCTTGAAAATCCCATGGACGGAGGAGAGGAGCCTGGCGGGCTACGGTCCAGGGGGTCACAAAGATTTGGACACGACTGAGCGACTAACACTTTCACTTTCATCTCTAGAGGGAGGGGGTACTTGGGAGATGTGGGTAGTGGGCATTTGGGTTGTCACAATGACTGTCTGCTGTCCTGCCTAATGAGGAAGTGTCTCACTCTGAGTGCCAAAGTCATCCCCTTGGAGAAACACTGCTGTGACCTGGGCTGCTTGTTCTTGATGCTGACGCCATGAGGAGGACAGGACTAAGGGGAGGTGGCCAGGGGAAAAAGAGGCCCTTTTGCAGGTGATCTGGGACTCTACTTCAGTCTGGAAAAGCGACCTGTCCTGTCATCTGTTATCGGAGTCGTCCACGCAGTCCTGCAGGAGTGCTCCCTGCTGACCTGGAGGAAGAAGCGCAGCTGGACCCAGGCCCACGTACTGTCCCATCTCCCTCTGTGGCTGTCACTTTTCTGGGAGGCAGGCTCAAGTCTCATAAGGAAGAAATAGAGGTCATGGTGTATAATGAGATTGGATTTACCACGGGGAATCAAGGAAGTGAATGCAGAGGCTCAAAATGGAATTTAGTCAAAACCACCATGGATACCACTTCGACAGTCCTTGCATGCTATGTGCTAAGTCGCGTCAGTCATGTCTGACTCTTTGCAACTCCATGGGCTATAGCCCACCAGGCTCCTCTGTCCATGGGATTCTCCAGGCAAGAATACTGGAATGGGTTGCCATTTCCTCTTCCAGGGGATCTTCCTGACCCAGGGATCGAACCTGGGTCTGTTACATCTTCTGCATTGGCATTGTCAGGCAGGTTCTTTACCACTAGCACCATCTTAGAATGACTATTAAAAGAAAATAAAAACAAACAGAAAAAGTCCAGAAAATAACAAGTGTTCTGAAGATGTGGAGAAATTAGGATCCTTGTGAACTATTAGTGGGAATATCAAATGATGCAACAGGTGTGGAAAACAGTATGTCAGGAGTTCTCTGGTGGCCCAGTAGTTGAGACTCTGGGCTTTCACTGCCAAAGATTGGATTCAGTCCCTGGTATGGGAGCTAACATCTACAAGTCACTTGGCGTAATACATAAACAAAAAACTGTATGACAGTTACTCAGAAAATTAAACATAAATTACCATATGATCCAGCAATTCTACTTTTGGGGATATGACCCAAAAGAAGGGAAAGCAAGGACTCATATATTGGAACATCCATGTTTATAGCAGTGTTATTCACAATAGTTGAAATGTGATAAAAATTCAAGTTTTCACTTGACAGATGATAGATGAATGGAAAAACAAAGTGTGACAAACAGAATATTACTCAGCCTTGAAGAGGAAATAAATTTGGATACATGCTACAATATAGATGAACTTTGAAGACATTGTTGTTGTTCAGTTGCTAAGCTGTGTCCGACTCTTTGTGACCCCGTGGACTTCAGCACACCAGGCTTCCCTGTTCATCATTATCTCCCAGAGTTTGCTCAGATTCATGTCTATTGAGTCAATGATGCTATCTAACCATTTCATCTTCTGCTACCCCTTTTGCCTTTGTCTTCTCTCTTACCCAGCACAGGATCTTTTCCAAAGAGTCAGCTCTTTGCATCAGGTGGTCAAAGTATCGGAGCTTCGGCATCAGTCCTTCCAATGAATAGTCAGGGTTAATTTCCTTTAGGATTGACTGATTTGATTTTCTTGAAGACATTATGCTGAATGAAATGAGACAGTCACAAAGGAAAAAATATTGTCATTGTATGATTCCAATTGTATGAGGTAAATACTTTGAATAGTTGAATTTATAGGGACAGAAACTAAAATGATGTTTCCCAGGAGAAGTGGGAAAAGGAATGGAAAGTTAGTGTTTAATGGGTACAGAGTTTGAGTTTTGGAAGATGAAAAAGTTCTGGCAATGGGTGGTGGTGATAACTGTACAATAATGTGAAAGTACTTAATGTCAATGAATGGTACATTTAAAAATTAAAAATGATAAATTTTATGTTATGCATACTTTAGATTTTGAGCTAAAATCTAAAAAAATGTAGAGCAAAGAAAATAAAAAACTGAATATAACACTTTGTAATCTGAAAGCCATTGGTCAGCATTATTATAGAGTGAACTCCTTACAGCAGATGAGACAAAATTCTACAAAATGAGAGTTCCAGATAGTTTCCAGAGCTTTTAAGCTACTGATGTTCTCTCCCATGGGCTTCCCAGTTGGTGCTAGTAGTAAAGAGCCCGTCTGCCAATGCAGGAGACATAACAGACATGAGTTGGATCCCTGGGTTGGGAAGATCCCTTGAAGGAAGGCATGGTAACCCACTGCAGAATTCTTGCCTGGAGAATCCCATGGACAGAGGAGTCAGGCGGGCTACAGTCCACAGGGTCACAGAGTCAGACACAAGTGAAGTGCATGCATGTTCTCTCCTATCATCTTCTCCATTCCTGAAAGTGTCAAAAGCACCTTTCAACAAAACTCTACTGGAAGATTACTACATGTGAGATATGGTCTCTGCCCTCAAGAAGCTCCCATCAGGATGAGAAGACAGGTGTGGTGTCCAGCATCTGAAAGATGATGTGACATCTGTGATTTGGAGGTGGAAATGAGCAGGTGCTCTAGGAAAAGAAGCGAGGGTGGTGGTGTGATGCATGGTGATGGTGGGGTGATGCGTGGTGATGGTGGGGTGATGCATGGTGGTGGGCCTTTTAGAAGGCCATGAGGATGAGGGATATTAGAGGTGGGCTTTAATGGACATTCATGGAGGTGAGGAGGTGAGGAGGTGAGGAGGTGAGGAGGGAGGATGAGAGAGGCAGGAGCCATGGACAGGAAAGTCTGAGATCTCTGGGGGAGGGCCACCTTCTTTGGTGTAGCCAGCTTCTTTGGTGCAGCCACAGCTTTGGCTCTCATGGACAGAGATGAAGCTGGAAAGATGGGCCAGCTAGCCAAGACCACGAAGGCACCATGTCCCTGTGAAGGCATCTTGGACATCATTCTTCAAGTAGGATTTTGAAAACAGGGGATTGTTGTGATTCTACCTGGAGTTTAGAAAGATAACTCTGAGAACAGTATAAAGGATGGATAGAACGAGGGCTGTTAGCTTATCATAAACTTCTGGGTGAACTTTTAGGACCTTGCATCCCACGCCAAACTTCCCCTGGATTTGAATGAATTTGTCAAATAGGCCAGGAATAGTCATTTGCTAAATAGCCTTTGAGTGAGACAGAGAAGAGAAAATTCCATACCAAGTGTAATGATATATAATGTTGCCATTTCACATGCTAGCAGGGTTATGCTCAAAATCCTTCAAGCTAGCCTTCAGCAATATGTAAACCAAGAACTTTCAGATGTACAAGCTGGATTTAGAAAAGTCAGAGGAACCAGAGATCAAATTGCTGACATTCACTGGATCATGGAGAAAGCAAGGGAATTCTGGAAAAACATCTATTTCTTCTCCACTGACTACACTAAAGCCTTTGACTATGTAGATCACAACAAACTGGAAAATTCTTAATGAGTTGGGAATACCAGACCACCTCACCTGCCTCCTGAGAAACCTGTATGCAAGTCATGAAGCAACAATTAGAACTGGACATGAAACAATGGATTGGTTCAAAATTTGGAAAGGACTACATCAAGACTGTATATTGTCACCCTGCTTATTTAACTTGCATGCAGAATATATCATGTGAAATGCCAGGCTGGATGAATCACAAGCTGGAATCAAGATCACCAGGAGAAGTATCAACAACCTCAGATATGCAGATGATACCACTCTAATGGCAGGAAGTGAAAAGGAACTCAAAAGGCTCTTGATCAGGGTGAAAGAGGAGAGTGAAAACGCTGGCTTAAAACTCAACATTCAGAAAACTAAGATCATGCACCTGGCCCCATCACTTCATGGTAAATAGATGGGGGAAAAATGGAAATGGTGGCAGATTTTATTTTCTTGGCCTCCAAAATCAATGTGGACAGTGACTGCAGCCATGAAATTAAAAGATACTTGCTCCTTGGAAGGAAAGC